CAAAAATTATTATTTTGGGGGTAAGGGGTGTAGCTATACTTTGATACTTAATGGTAGAACATGTGCTTATGCATGCTCAAGGCCCTGCCTGGTTCAATTCCAAACATCAAAAAAAAWTATTTATTTGCTGACTTTATTTTCAGCAATAGAAAATATCAAATGTTATAAATATACATATATATATCCAGATACAGGTCTCTCTCTCTCTCTCTCTCTATATATATATATATATATATGCGTATATTTTTATGTATTTATGTATATATATATATATACATACACACACACACACACACACACACACATATATACACACATACAGCATGAATGTTCCAAACATGTGCTTGTGTGTGTGTGTGTGTGTATTCACTTTTCTATAGATCTTACTTTTTTCTCTTTCCAACTTCTCATTTCTATAAAATCATATCGATAACACTCTGGGGGTTACTTTATATTTCATGTATTGTTCTTTACAGTTTCACTCTTATTATGGGTATATATGGCTCTCACATTAATGAGTGTGTTTGTGAATATGTCTAATAATGYTGTTAACAGAGAATAACTTATAACACTCTCTTGCCTGTTGAGATGGACATAATTTTGCCTCCTGCGTGAAATGATAATAAAATTTTAAGGAAATTGCATACTAATTAGTGAACAGATTTTAAAACCTGTGAAATTAAATTGCAAGCACATGTCTCTGAGAAGGTCTGGAAACCTTCATGCTCTAAAAAATAACTAATAATTCATCTCTCCCCCTCCATAACCATTACTTCTCACAAACATCAATAAAATGATAATAAATTAAAAAAAAAAAACAAGGCACTCTTTACTTGTGGACCTAAGAAGTGGGCAGTTATGAGGCTTCTAYTGATTTTTTCTGTATATTACATCTGAAGTTCTACACTAATGAGGACTGGGATATGGCTTAGTTCTAGAGCTCTTAACCTAGCATGCCAAAAAAGGCCCTGAGTTCAATCCCTAGTGCCAAAAAACAATATGATAACAAGGTCTGGGCAGTGCTAAAGTGCTTGTTTAGCATGAGCAAGGCCCTGGGTTAAAACCTCAGTGAGAGAGAGAGAAAAAGAGAGAGAGAAGGAGGAGGAGGAGGAGGAGGAGGAGGAGGAGGAGGAGAAGGAGAAGAGGAGGAGGAGGAGGAAGAGGAGGAGGAGGAGGAGGAGGAGGAGGAGGAAGAGGAGGAGGAGGAGGAGGAGGAGGAGGAGGAGGAGGAGAGAGGGGAGGGGAGGGGAGGGGAAGGGAGGATGCCAAACTCTTGGCTCTCTATGGTGAAAGTTTCCATCTCAGTTTGTGACGTTGAGCTTCAAAAACATCATTATTGGCTACAACTTGACATGGTATTAGAAATGATGCAGTTTGTTTTTCTTGCTCTCCATCTAGGATTGGGAAACTGAAGCTCATGGTGGGGTAATGCTTTTCTGAAGATAACCCAGCTGATTAGCCACAAGAGCCAGGTCCAAACCCCAAAATCTTGCTTTCAAAAGTTTAAAATTTCCCTGCTTCACCAGCCCCACCATCCATCTCCAACCACTGGGAAAATTAAATAATTGAAGGAGTAATCATTTTTCAGGAGAAAAGGACAATGTTTGGATTAATCACATATCTATTTACAACCTAAAACTTTTACTTCATATTTTAAAAACATACAAGAAATCTCCAGGCATTTTAGGCACTCATTTTATTTTTTAAAATGCTTGCATTGCTTTCAATAGGCAACAGACACAATCCTGAGCACTAACAGAACTGATTTTTATATCAGACCATGAAGTAGGTAGTTTGGTGCCCCTATTTTGTAGGATTAGGGCACAATGAAGTTGGCTAATTTGCTCAAGGACCAGCTGTGAATAGACAGTAGAATGCAAACCCTAGCGAGGCTCCAAATCATAGTTTTGGACTTTGTATATTACACTTACTCTCCACACTCAAAGAGGGCAGTCCTGAGGCTCAGTATACTAAGAGAAAAAATTAATAATAAGTGCTGAAAACCAAAGTATATGATCCCCAGAAAACCTCTAGCACCCTATTACAGAGAGTTGATATGCAAGAGTTCAAATCATGTTTCAACTATGAACCGTTATTCTCTCAAGCCCTGTTTCCCCATCTGTCAAATGGGTACAATGGTATCTAATTCAAATGCTGTTAGAGTGACATAGGATCACATCTGCCTAAATAATTACAGACATACCATAATATCTCAATAAAGGGCAGCATAAGATTGATGAGAGCCTGGTTTGTGTTAGAGGCTTGGTTCTCAGCTTGGCATTATTGGGAGGTGTTGAAACCATAAGGAGGGGGGCTTATTAGGAGGAAGTTAGGTGATTGGGGACTCTTTCTTTATTTTTGCTTTCCACCACCATGAGATGAAGAGTCAACTCTTCTGCCACACATTCCCACCAGGATGTACTTGGTCTCAAACCAACGGGGTGAAGTAAAGATGGAAAGAAGACTCTAAATTTGTGAGACAAATATAAACCTTTTCTCCTTTAAGTTGATTATCTCAGGTATACTGTCACAATAAATGGAAAGCTGACTAACCTAACATGATAACTTAGAGCTCTGCACTGATTGATTTATTTAGTGAGCTGACTGAAGACAGGAGACTGCCCCTAATGACCTATGCTCTCTTGGCCAGCCTGACTCCCGTGAATGACATAGAGCTCATCTTAGAGAGAGTTCTGTTAACGAGGTAACAGCCCTTTCAATAAACTCAAATTCAAATTGGATAAGAAAATAGAATTTAAAAGTTTTGTATTTAAAGTTTCTTGTCTAAAAGGATACAAGACTCTCCAAAGGAAAGAAGTACAGACCTCACTTTATAGAAAATAGGTCCTGTTGACTACCCCCCCCCAAGTTACTGGAGGCTGAGGCATTAGGGTAAAGGCTGAAAATGAGCAAAAGGGAATACATCCCAGCACAAGTCACAGATGGGAAGAAGGATGGATCTATCTTACTGGGCAAATCCATGTCCCATGGATAAGGAGGGGGTATCTGGAGGGATGTGTAACATGAATCATCTTCTTATCCTGCACCATCTCAACTCTGGTTCTAACCCACTCGAAGTGGTTTCTGTTCCTTGGGAATTAAAGTTCCCGACTGCTTTTTAGCAATCAGTAAAATTTCTTTGTAAAAGCATTTTATCAAATGCTTTTTTTTTTTTCATTTCAGTCCAAATAATCATCATAATACATTTTCATCATGAACCTCTTTTATGGATTCCTCGGATTTTAAATAGACTAATGGGTGCAGGTTCATAGGCCTCCACAGCTCCTTTCGAGCTGCATGACCCTGTGAAAGCAGAATCCCTGGTGCCTCCTGTGCTCCCAGTGCTAGATGGGGGCTCGGGGTTCACAGAAACCAGTCATTTTCAAACTCTACTCCGTAAAGCTCTGCTTTTTATCTGCGGTACACAGTGGCTCCAAGGTAAGATTTTGTTTGATCAAAGGGATTTTTTTTTTTGGCTAAAGACTTACATAAATTCAAATATTAAAAATACAAACATGTCCTCTCATTTATCAGATGAGGGAACTAAGGCCTGGGGGGTAAAGCAGAATTAATAAGTTGCAAAAGCTGCTGTGAGCACTGGATTTGGAATCAAGGATTCCATTACCAAGGCTGTCAGTTACTAACTGTGTAACCTTGGGGAAGATTTGAGTCTTCATGTCCTCCCTGCTCTATAAGATGGAAATACCACTGCTGGCTTTAACACAGCTGTTTTTAACAGATTTAAAGTTTGTGATGTTAGAAGCATTAACACCCTATACACAGTCCATTCACTCACCAAATGTTTGAGCCCTATTATGTGCTCACTACCTACTTGGCATCTCTTCCTGGAAATGTCAAGGATTCTCAAGCTTATCGTGTCTAAAACTGATCTTGCTGTCTTCTTTCCAAACCTCCCAAGGTGTTCTAGTTCAGTGAGGGGTACCAACATCCATCAACTTAACTAACATGTGCATATTTAAACAAGGCTCCTGAACATCATCTCAGTACCTCTTCTCTTCAACTGTAATATCCAATACACCATCAAACCCTGCTCATTGCCCCTTCTAACTATCTGAGAATCTCTGCATATTTCCTGTCTTATTTCTGGTACCATCTCCTCCTCCAAAGTATAGGTCACATGTTACATCTCCCTGATCTACCTGCACGCTCCCTCAGATCTCTGCACCACAGTCGGATACTTAGACTTCTGCTCTTCCTCAACATGGCCTTTCCTAACTTCACTGATCACATGAACTCCCCACTCAACATCATTTGCTCACAGCAGCTCCTCCTTCTTTAAGCATGGACACTTGAAATGTCACGACCATTTGTATGGTTGTGTCATTAACGCCTTTCTCACAAAACTCAAAGCTCCACAAAGGCAGAGCCAGCTTTAGATTTTAACCCACTTTATGACCTTGGGTAACTGATGTTCCTCCACTGTGACTCATTTTTCTGAACCACGAAAATCAGGAAATAGCTAAATTACTGTAAAAGAGAAGTGATTGACAGTCTTGACAATCTGTGAGTGCTTTGAATATATATATATATATATTCACACATATATATGCACATATCGATACACATGCATATACATATACTTACATACATATGTATGTGTGTTTATTTACACACACACACACACACACACACATACACACACACACACACACACACACACAGACCAAGAATCAATATGCCTTTGACTCTCCACTCTCTTGGGGTTTGATAAGTGCTCTTACTTTGTCTTCTGAGGACAACAGAGACCATATATCATGTGACCACAAACTGGATTATGCTATTCATTATTTCATCCAATGGAGATTTACTGAGTTCCCACTCCATGTCAGCTGCTATGCCTGGCTCTGGACCCTCTAAACTGACAAGAGTCTGGGTCACTGAGTTTTCCCCTCACCGTAGACCTAATTGCAATTAGATGAGGCCCTCCTCYGGGCTTTGCAAAGGCCCTCTCGTGCCGTAGGCTATCTGAGGCTCTCTACCTGAATTCTCCAGGTCCTTGTATGCTTCAGCCCATGACTTGGCCATGTTGGCCAGCGTGTACTCCAGGATCTGGATGTCGGTGACTGGGCAGTTGCACTGCGGGAACTCCTCGGCACACTGACATCGGCACTGGCTGCTCTGGCACACGTACTCGCCCTCGCCATTGCACATGATGTAGCTCAAGGCCGACTGGACAAACTTCTCTTGCAGATACTGAGGGAAGATTATCTGAAGACCTGTGTGAGAACAGCAAGAGGGGGAAACAGAAAGGTTAAAAAAAGGTGTTTCATTAACAGTTTCCAAAGGTGATACACAGGAATCCAAAGCCGCTAGATTTCTCCCTGTGTATTAAAATCAGACTATTTCTGGGCCTCTGTGGGTCCAGACAGGGCATAACCAGCCAGGCCTGCAGTTCCTTCACTTCTACTTCAGCTTCTCAGGTCACGACCTTGGCCATCTCTGAAATGCACACTACACAACGTGATATTAGTCCTGAGTCTAGGGCAGATCTGATATGTACCTTTTCCATTCGTGGAGAAAATCTTTATTGAAAGCAGAATACTATTRTTTATCTTTCTTTATTTCCTTCATTTATTTTCTGTCCCTTTCTTAAAATATTTATGAACCCTATTTATGAAGAACAAGTCCTGAGCTGGGCACCATCTACAGAGATTAAAAAAGAAAAAKAAAAAAAGAAAAAGAACACAATCTTTGCCCTAGAGGAGTTTCCAATATAATCAGCAGGATAGACAGTGGACACACATCATCCTAACAGCTTTGTAGGCACAGAGCGGAGATGGCCATGGGAGGCACTGGACAGCCTGGACTGCAAATAATGTGGCCTAGATAGCAAGGCAACCTGTACAGGGGACAGAACTGAAAATAAGCGAGAGATCACCACCACGTTATAAGAGCAGGAAAGACACTGTAAAAAGTGTAAAAGTGGAACAGAAAGAGCAAAACATTAACAAATGAGTCTGGGAGCTCTGGATAAACAAATGAGCTTGGATGGAAGCGGGTACAGTGCTGCAGGAAAACAGGTTGTAAAGAGGCTAGACTGCAAAGGGCTTTAGTATAGACGGAGGAATTTGGGGTTCATCTGGTGGGTCACAGGTATGTGCTGAGAGACTTCAAGAGAAAGARGGATATAATTAGAACCATGAAATTTAATACCACTATGTATCATAAAATCTAAAATACCAGTTAGAAGGCCATCAGAGATAACTAGTTGTCTCTTCTTTGCTCTAAAACTAAACATACTGAGGACCTTTATAGCTAGCCCATGGTTTTAGGATGAGTACTCTAAACCGCATGGCATGATCTTTTCGCTGTATTTGAATAATCAAAGTCTTACTCCTGAGAGCCAGTGACCGAGAAGGATTTATCTGGACACGGGGAGAACTCTGGTACCTTGAAATGTCAGCAGAAAGCATTGATTGCCTGTATAGCCCCAACAGAAGGACGACTCTGGAGCAGCTCAACTCATTAAGGCACTTTCAACCTGGGAGGGCTCTCTCCAGCTCATTTGAAGCTGYTAACAGCTTTAGGCTCCGATACATATGGGGGTAACAGTTTCATTACCCAGCATGTAGGAGAGAACTGTATTCTTATTTGGATTGCTCTTTATTATCATTCATGCTTCAGAGACACCCCCTAATCCTACTCATCAGGGACTTGCCGAATACACTTGACACACACTGTGGCTTGCTAATTCACAGTTGTATTTCTAGAGTTTGTCTTTCCCTCTTGTTCCTTCAAATTATATGTGTGTGTGTGTATGTGTGTATGTTTATATATGATGAAAATATATATAAATTATAAACCCCCAATACTTGAGCCAGTCCTTGTATGGCAGGTAAAATGACCATTTCAGAGGGACACCGTGGGAAAGATCCTGCCTCGTGGCAAGAAGCCACAGCAGTAGGTAAGAGCTAGTCATCACACCTGTTGTGCCCCTCTAACTACATAAATCTTCTCAGACAAATGATTTGGCCTCTGAGGCCCCACTTCCTCTTGTGTTCAGATAAAGAACATTTTAATACCAACATCAGAGAACTGTTAGGAAGACTAAAAGAAAGATCTCTGCAAACTATCTGGAACATTCCTGGGCACACAGCAATCGAACAACTTATTATCTATTCCTACTGTTGATGTGATGAAGAAGAAGATGATGGTGATGATGATGTCACACCTATGATGTAATTTTTGAGGTTTCAACAGAACCGTTAGGATAAATGGAGGAACAACAGGTGCAGGTATTTAGTCGGAAGAGGAGCATTTTCAGGAATTTGTCTTTCGTTGTTGGGAGAACTCTCACAGGGAAGAGGGTTCAGAACTCTGTGCCTGTTGAACCAGAGGGCTGTTCAGGAATGTCCATATTCCATCTACATGGAAGGTTGCTAACAGAACTAGGCAGCTGGACAATGGTCACCTGCAAAGCTGGGTAGCCKCCATACCCACAAGGAAGGGGTCCATATGAAACTGATTGCTTGGAAAACTACTGCCCAGGGGTATGATACCCATGTCAGAAGGTCAGGCAAAACCAATCGAATTGTAAAGTCCCTTCTAACCTGAGTCTACAATTCCTTCAGAGTATGCATTATTGAGTCATTTTATCTGTATCACCATTTTCTCTTCCAAAGCACAATTTATTTTTAGCTGATTCCAATCCCCCGTAGGCAACTGGGTCTATGGATTGGGGTTAAGTTTCTGTTGCTTAGAGGAACTCTACAGACTATATTCTCAGTGCCATTTTTCTAGCTTGCTCATCATTTTCTTTCTCCCTTTTGTAGGGGATAAAATATTCTATTCTTGGTCCCAGCCCAAAAGGAATTTGGGGAGAGCATTTTTAGAAAATTGCGTCAAATCATTTCTCCATTTGGCAAGGATACAAAAGGCAGTATTACCTACCCCGTTTAATGCAACTGAAAACAGATGAAGTTTGGGGTTGGGGGGTTTTCTGGGAGCAGCTGAAACACAAAACTGACTGCTCTTTAAAAATGGAAACTCAGAACATGCCGAGCTGTCTCAGAGGTAGAATCTCCTGGGCAATTTCAAAAGAGAATAATGAAGACATAGCAATTAAAAAGCACTTTTCTGCAAAATGTCATTACTGTTTAAAGTTACATAACCATTTCTACGGCAGCGGAGGTTCACACAGCAGTCACAGCCAGAGTCGTCTCCCGATGACCTGTGTCCAACAAAGAGGCCCATTGCTGACCCCCTAGATTGGCGCCCAAACCCTGCCGGCTTCAATGGGAGTCATAAATAATTTGGAGGGGGATTTGGCCTGGGGAACCACTGTTTGAAAGATATACAGCTGCCGGCTGGGGTGGAATATTCTGTCCCCATGGTTCCCAAAGACACACACACATACCCAGGGAAAGGAAAACTGAGAAAATCGGAGAGAAAAAGGCCGCCATTATTGCCAAGCACATAAATTGGCCTCACAAAACCCAGGAAAGCGATGGTTGAGAGTTGCATTTGAACACCGACGCGCCACCACAGAACATATGGGATATTCTCCCTCCAATCTTGTTGACTTTTTTAAAGATCTTGTGATAGTTTAAAGCTGAATGCATCACTATTCCACCTGAGCCATCTTCCCTCCTTTTCCTGAACTCGCGCTCCATCCCTGTTGGTCCTTCCCCTTATCCCACCTTCAGTATGTGCATCTCACAATACGCTTTGTGTTTTGTGTTTGGTAGGCAGTTCTCTCGTTCTGGGATCTTATTTCTCTCTCTCTCTATCTGTCACACGAGGGGCCACTTCTCTGTCCTTGCCTGCCTCCTTTGTGTCTCCCAACAGTCTCTTCTTGACTCACAACACACTAGGCACTCTGCCATTTTGGGGGGCCTTTCCAATGGGTCTGAATTGTTCCTCTTACAGTTTTGCTCTTGCCCTTCCCAGTACCCCCAGAATATTCTTTCTCACACGTCTGCTTGTGCCCTTTTTCTAAAGCGCAGACTTTCCCAGAGTACTCAAGTTGAAATGTCTTTCTGTTTCCTTCAAAAGAATTAAATAAGGGCTTATGTTAGGTTATAAGTTTGTTATTTTTTTTTCCATATCTTCCATTAAAAAATGAATTCGGGGAGGAAGGGGACTGTTTGTTCACTACAGATCCCAGAGTGTAAAATGAGGCAAAGCTCCCATTAGATTTTGGGACTGGGAGAACTGAAATGTTAGGTGACCCATCCAAAACCTCTTAACTAAAGGAACAAAGGAAAACAGAATGAAGAATCAAATTCAGAAACTCAGACTAATTTTTTTTTTTTTTTTTTGATACTAGGGATTAAAGCCAGAGGTACTCAGCCTCCGGAACATACTCCCAGCCCTCTTTACTTTTTACTTGAGACAGAGTCTCACTAAGTTGCTGAGACTGGCTTTGACCTTGAGATCCTCCTGCTTCAGCCTCCTGAGTTCTGAAACAATCAAGATCCTCCACCTCTCCAGCGGGAGATAACAGGTTCTAAGGTGAACTCCTGGCTCAATATTCCTAGATATCTCTAGCATAGAGCAACTGGCAATGTCTTAGGTTCTCTGATACTCAGAATTTCTTTACCTGTAAATTGAAATACCAACCCCCTGACTTACTAATGAGGGAAGAAAACACATAAACACACTTAAACCACAATCTGCCTGCTATGGACTGGAAGTCTGTGACCCCCAAACAATCCACATGTGGAAACCGAGACCTCCAACACGGTGCGATTAGGAAGCAGATCCTCTGAAAGGCGATTAGGGGAAGTTGAGATCACAAAGGAGGTGCCTCCCCCAGGGGATTAGGTCTCTTACAAGAAAAGACCCTGGAGCTTATCCCTTGTCTTTCAAGCAAAGGCCATGTGAGCCCACGGTGCCAAAGGCACTGCCTGTAAGCCACGAAGCTGAGCCTCACCAGTCACCATCTCTGCTGTCCCTGTGACATCCCACTCCAGGTCCCCCAGAACCGTGTCTTTTGTGTGAGCTGAAGTGTTTGTTATACCAGCCTAAGCATGCCAAGATGTAATTAAATGTGCAATGAATGTTATGTTTTTCCCTTTAACCCCACATCAGATCAGGATCCATTCCCAGAACCAAATTCATGCTTTTCCTGGGAAACCTTTCTTAATGGATAAATGGGTTTTAGGGGATAAATGATCCACTGAAGAACAATCTAGAAAGTACACAAAGCATGGTAAAGGTCTCAACAACAGAACTCCTTCCAGTTGAGAATCAATCTGGTTATCGCCTTCTTTTC